ATACTTTATCATTCACAGTTTTATGCCAGAACATTTTTCTGAACAAATATGATATTTTTTGTATCCCTGCAGAAGATAGGATCATAATTTGGCATGTTGTTTTATATTTTTATATGTATAATATGTTATATTTTATACCTATAATATTTCCCATGGCTTTTTAAATGGCTAGTGATCTTGAGGAAGAATATGAATCATTACAAGTTCTCTGTAGATTTGAGGTTTCCTTATTTTTTTTTTCCTGCAGTATGGGCCTTTGAATATTATCTATAACTAGTTATTCAAACTTGGAATATCATCTGAAAGGTTCCACCTTTCTTGAGTGAAAGGATATTTCTCTCTTGGAAAAAATGTGATTTTATTTTTAACATTTCAAAAAAGTATTCACTGATTCAATCACATTTACTCCCCTTTGATCTTGCTTTCTTTTAAATAATGCTAGTGTGTGGGATCCAAATGAGGGTAATTTAAAAACCAGTTTTACATGCACACAGGCAGACACAGCCTCTAATTATGCAAATTCATTTAAAAGGATTTTCATTTACTATAATGGAAGAGCTTTTACTGTTTGGGGAAAGCTTTAGCTTTTTGGGAATTTGAAGCGTCAAATAACCAGTGAATTCAATTGCATGTTCTTGGTAACTGAAGATCAGTTATTTTCTTATTTAACTTTCTGAGTTTTGTTTGGGGAACAAATCGTATTTTATTTTTTATTTTATTTATTTTAAAATTGATTTTTACTAAAAACACCGTGATCTACAAAATTGTTCATTATGCAGTTGTTTCAAGCATTTAGTGTTCCAACCACCAGTGTAATCTTCCCTCCATCAATGTCCTCAGTTTCCCTCCAAGTCCCAATCTGTCCCCGTTGGCACCTAACGAATTTATTTTATATTGCTTATTTCACAAAACTTTAAGAATTGGCAAATAAAATGATCAGAAAATAAATCAGTAAGGACCAGTTAGTGAATGCTATATGACTTTTGCCTATGTAAATAAGAACATTAAAACCGTTTCATACAATATTTAAAATGCCTATTTTTATTTACATATACACATTTTCAACTCTGGAATCTAAAGTATATTGCCTTAAATTTTACTTTATACTTGGATCTTGTTATGGTAATAATTATGTCTTACCTGCCATTAACACTCTTAAAGCAATTCTATGTTAATATATTCTGGACTTTACATGGAATAGGTGAGTTCTACATATGTAAATTTTCCCCTTACACTTTATATAAACACTGTGGTTTACAAAGTTGTTCAGGATGATTTGTTACAGGTATTCAGTATTCCAACACCAGTCCGACCACCATTACACCTTCCCTCCAATTTTCTCAACCACCCATTAAGCCTGCCCCCATAGCAAGCCTTCAGTAATTTATTTTATATTGCTTGTTATCAATAATTGGCCAACAGAATAATCAAGTAATGTTTCCTTAGAAGAAACTTAGTGCAAATTGTTGTATCTCATCACGGAGACATAAAGTCCTTGTATGAGAGATTATTCAGATGTTGTTATAAGTTAAGCCTTCTCTGTTTATGTTTTGTTAATCTAAGATCAGTTGCCTTCTACTTTACATCATGTCCTATCTGGTGTGCTAACACTGATTTATCAGTAATGTAGTTTTAGGTGTCAGCAAATTTTAGTTTGAAGCTTTTTTCCCCCCCTTAACCTGTCTCTGTCTTCTGACCCTGAATATTGATAGAGATTTTAGTTTCTTGCTTTTATTGTACTTACTGCTGATAATGATTTTTGTTTTTATTTCCCCTGGGCTCCCTTAGCTTGGCCATTGTGTAAGTACTTTATGTATCAATGTATTAGGATCTACTGATGTATTTGACTGCTTTTATCAATTAGAAAATGTTTTGTGCATATGTGCTAGACATATTCGCTATTAGCAGCCAAGGGTTTTTATGCACTAAACAGACACAGCTGAGTACATAAATGTCACCTGTATTTTCCGTATCTATAGATGGAATGTTTTTTTTTTACTATATAATAGGAAGTAGAAATGTTCTTGTAGAAACTTTACTTCTCAAGAGAAAAATCACTGACAACAAACAGTAAATTTTTTAATATGCCCGTGCTAACATTTATCTTAAGAACATTTTTTTTTCCATGCTTGAAAATCAAATTGGGTTTCTTTGAAGTGTTTGCATAAATTAGTTTCTGCCTTAGCTCTGCCACTGCCTGCTTTTCTGTAGCTACTTCTTTAGGATTTCACCAACTCTGGCCCGAGGCAGTGATTCTCGTACTTACTTGTGATTGAAGAAACTGTTTTAAGATTTCCCAACTTATCCTAAACCAGTGCCTTTACAAGAAATACTATAAAAACAAATTGCTAGAGAGATTTTGAAACACACGAAAAATGCGCTTGATTTTTATTATTAGATGTGTCGGGGTAGACGGGAAATTTCCCTCTTCTCTCAGGTTCTTCCTGGACTGATTAAGTAATCAAAACATCATCAAACAGACTCATAGGAAAAAAAGATTGATTTATTATGTATGTACAGGCAATCTACATAGATGGTGATGATTCTCTTTTCAATTGAGAATACAGAGGTATATAATCTGAATTATAATGAATGGGAGATAGGGGTCAGGGGCATTAAGGAACGGGTTGCTCACTGTCAAGTAGAGGCTGAAGAGCTAGTACAGGAGGTTTTTACCTTGCTTTGCTTTGCTGATTTTTTTCCTCTTGCATGTAGCCACCATGCCTTCCCCCTGAGCCCCCTCCCCCCATTCCATCCCCAGAAGTGCATATAGTCTCCTGAGCACCATCATGGGTCACTCTTAAGCACAGGGCCAAGAATAGCCCCTGAACACTGCCAGGTTTTTTTTTCTTTCCAAAGGGGAAAGAAGAAAAAAAAAAGTAGAGGATGACGTATGATAAAATCCCAAATGCTTTGTAAATATATATTTGCTCTATCTCAGGAGGTCATAGATAAGTGTAGATAACTTTCTGGTCCTTGGCCTCTGTGTGACACTTCCCTTGTAAATTCTCATGTGTCCCCCTAGAATAATCTGCTGTCATCATCAAATGTGGAACAGATTGAATTTAAACACATCAACTGGAATATTCCTGATTAGAGGTCATGATAATCTATACAGACCTCTACAGAACACATAAGCAAATAGAGAAATTGGTAGGTTTGGCCCAGGGTATCAGAAAATCTTTGCCTCTAAACTTGAACACATTGAAAGTTGTGCCTTAAATTATAATTGATTATTTATGTATTTATTTATTTATCTATGTAGGTGAGGGCAGGGTTTGGGCCACACCTGGAAGTGCTCAGGACTTGCTCCTGACACTGAGCTCAGGGGATCATATGTTGTGCCAGTGATTGAACCAGGGTTGGCCACATGCAAGGCAAGCACATTAACCCCTGTACTTTCTCTCTGGCCCTGTATTCTAAATTTGGTATAGAAAGAAGTAATTTTTTTTTAATTTGAATTTTTCTAGGTGAGTAAAGGCGCTACTATAATTCTTTAGTGTATAGCAGATTCCCAATGAGTGGTTGTTTTTCCTTCATAATTGGATGATAAGTTTATTGAGCAAAGAGATGCCAAGTTGGGAACTGTTGCATCTTACTGAAGGAAAACAAATACTCACATCGATTCGTTGCCTTTCTCTTTATGCTTTTTTTGGGGGTGGGGAGAGGGTTTGAGTCACATTTAATAGTGATCAGGGGCTCTCCCAGCTCTGTGCTGGGGTATTTTGCCACATCTGTATTGGTCATAAATTGGGTCTTGTTGCATGCAAGGCAAGCACCGCTTCCTATACACTTTCTCTCTAGTACTCTCTTGAAATAGAATAGGTGATATGAGAATAATAATTTCTTTTTGTTTTCCTAGTAGAGCTATAGGTGTTTTGTTTTGGGGCCACGTGGGGAGATATTCTAGCTCTGTGTTTAGGGATCATTCCTAGAGGTGCTCAGGAGACCATATGGGGTACCTGGGATTGAACCCCAGGTTGACCATGTGCAAGGCAAATATCCTACCTGTTATGCTATCTCTCCTGCCTGAAAACACCTATAATAATCTTTAGTCTTTTTTCCCTCCTTGTAGCTGGTTTTTGTAAATCGTATCGTAATTGTCCTCACCTGTCATAACCATGAGCCCTCTAAACCATTTCTCGAAAATAGTTAAGAATTGGGCCAGGGGCTGGAGCAATAGCACAGAGGGTAGGGCGTTTGCCTTGCACGCGGTCGACCTGAGTTCAATTGCCAGCATCCCATATGGTCCCCTGAGTGCCGCCAGGAGTAATTCCTGAGTGCAGAGCCAGGAATAACCCCTGTGCATTTCCAGGTGTGACCCAAAAAGCAAAAAAAAAAAAACAACAACAACAACAACAAAAGAATTGGGCCGTTTTCATCCTAAAGTGGTTGACTTACAATGTTGATTTTGTTTTGGGGGCCACACCAGGCAGTGCAATGCTGTAGGAGAGGGCAGTGCAGGGCCCTCCTGGCACCCTGTGCTCTTGAGCCGCTACTGGGAGTACTTGGGGGGACCAGGTGCAGCTGGGACTCAAATCCAGGCATGCAAAGCCTGTGCTCAGCTTGTTGAGGTATCCCTCTAGCCCCAAGTTTGTTTTCATTGTTTCCTTTGGTTATTTTCCAAACACATGAGGGTAGGGGGGTAATTCTCACTTAAAATCAGTAGTAGTGCAATGGACCAGTTCCTTAGTCATATGTCACAAAATCATTAGGTTCCCAAAGTCAGCCATGAAGAAAATTCTTCAGGGGTAAACACATCCATTTGTTGTTATTGTTGACTGATTTTTTTCTCTTTTCCTAGGGATTTTAAGTTTTGTGTGGTTTGGGGAAATCCAACAGTGATTAGCAGTTGGTTCCTCACCATTGATAACAGCGTTTTAGGAGTTGATAAATTTTTCCTTGGTACTAAATTTAGGACTGTGTTTCTCCTTAACGTTTTGGTTCCGTCTTGGGTAGGTGAAGGGTTCACTTTTCGCTTGTGGTTTGTGTTTCTTTAGCTGCGATCAGGAGGCGCTCAAGTACTGGAAGGCTGCATTGCCGAAATCCACAACATCACCAGCCTCGACATCTCCGACAACGGTAAGTGCAAAACCAGCAAAAAAAGGAAAGTGTGATTAGAAGTCAGTTAGTCAAGGGGAGTAATCTTCTAGCCCAATCTAGATAAAACATTTGTGAAAGTATCATTTCCCTTTTTGATTAATAAGACTTTTAGCTTTTAATTTTGATGATGATGAGAGAGAGAGAGAGAGTGTGTGAGTGTGTGTGTGTGAGTGTGTGTGTGTGTGTGTGTGTGTGTGTGTGTGTCTGGTATAGGGATCGAACACAGGGCCTCACAGCTACACAGCAAACACTCTACTGTCAAGCCACATACCTGACTGGACTTGGAAATTTAACAGCAGAACTTACTTGTGGTCTAAAGTGATGCTGAAGTCTTCCTGAGTTGATTCCTACTGAGTTAATTGCATAGGTTCCATATGCATTTTTTTTTTCATTCAAATTTAAGACTATTGACAACAACTGATAAAGATCTGAGGTGAACCTTTGCATTCTTGATGATAAAGCTCCCCATTTATTCAGAAGCTTCATTCCTTTGCTTTATTCCTTTGCTTCATTCTGTGAACTGAAGTTACAGACCAGTGAACAGCATATTGGAATTTTCTCCCACAAAGTACTAGAGAAAGAGGAGTATCGTTGCAGTTATCTCTTCCTCCTCCTGGCTGACTTTGTTTAGCCACTGGTTGCATAAGAGACTGAGTTAAGTCTTTGTAGAGAATGAGTTTATCCTTGTGTGATAATAGGACTTAAAAGCAGGGCCCCAGATTCCTTTGGAAATAAAGAGTATTCTCTCAAGATGGTAGCCATCGGCTGCTTGTCACCTTTGTGTCGTTTTATTCCAGCGGTGGGTTCATTTTTTAACATGTGTTTTGATTCTTCACTTACTCTGCTTCTTTTCAGGTCTAGAATCTGACCTCTCTACCTTAATAGTATGGCTCAGTAGAAACAGATCAATACAACACCTGGCGTTAGGCAAAAATTTTAATAATATGAAATCCAAGTAAGAGTTTTGAATTTTCTTATATGACAATGATGAAAATAACCAGTCTCCTGAAGGCTTTTGACTTGATTCCCACTCTCCACATCTTTAAAATCTCTTTAGAAATCTGACCCCCGTGTTGGACAACTTAGTACAGATGATTCAAGATGAAGAATCAGTGAGTATTACCATGTGTTTTTATTATTACTAAGTGGTTTTTTTTGCCATGCTTACAAATTCTGTCCACTGGGTTAATTAATGCTAGGATATAATTTCTGATGATCTCATCTCGATGTGCCTTGTTAATTTTTTTTAATGTAATAGTGTTGATTCTGTATTACATTCATAAGATGTATTTACATTGGACTCATTAGGCTGGGGAGATAGGACAAAGACCCAGGGTGCCTGATTTTTCTGCCCATGACCCCCCTATTTGATCCCTGACAATACACGCCCCCAGAGCACTGTGGGTTGTGGTCATGGTGATGCCTAATACCTCAGGGGCCAAGCAATACCAAGTCCTTGGGGCTCAGCTTGGACCATCTGTTTTGGCTAGTCTGAGTGTCACCAGTCATAGCCCTTGACCATCCTGAGCACAGCCTGGAAATCCCCTCTTCTGCCCCAATTAAAATAACTAAATAAAAATGGCTTCCTTTTCAATGCATTCCATCCATCACTAATTATAAGACGGTTGTAACTAATAGATGAGAAGAAATATCAACTGCCTTGTAAGCCCACATTTTCATAAGCATTCCTGTTTCCTAACTTCAGCTCAGACACTCAACTGCAAGCAGGAATTTTTACAATCTGCTTGACTTTCTGACCTTAGATCATGCCGAGAACTGTCATCTTGCTCATTTGAATTTCATCTAGTAATTACGTGGAATTATAAGAGCCAGCAAGTTGTCCCCCATCTTGAATTGCTCCTTGAGCTCTATTAGTCCTCTTTATGTTTTTATTCCCTTTAATTGCTCCTTATCTACACTTGGTTTAGGGTAAAGAACTATAATTTTAAGGAGTGTTGCATTTTGCTGCTCTTTAAAATGCTTCTGGGGGAAAAAAAAGATATCTTATGGATAAAGGAAGAAGCACTCTGTCATTAATTCCTTTCATTCTGACCTCGTCTGTGACTCCTTAAATTTCTCTTCTGCTTGTTGATGTTTTGCTCTTCTCCTGTCTTAGTTCAGTTTGATCACTCGGCTCAGTTTCTCTGTTCCTAAAATCCACATCACTTTGTGTTCCTACTATAAATAGTCAGCTTACTCAGGTTTTGTCATAGCTGGTTTTGTGAGCCACGAGTGGCTTTCTGTATCAATCGTGTCAGATCTAGCATATTTAAAAATATATCATTTTCAATCGGCACTGGTGGAGGAATGGGCACTTGATCATTGTATAACTGAAACCCAAGCACAAAAATTTGTAAGCCTACAACTGTACCTCATGGTGTTTCACTAATAAAAATTAAAAAAATAAATAAAAAAAAATATATATATCATTTTCCCTTTTGAGTTCAAGTAGAGTAAGCAGATTCTACAGTGTTTCTGAGAAAGTTCAGAGCATGAGAAATGGAAAGAAATAGGAAATTTTCTTTCTTTTTTTTTTTTTTTCCTTGCCCCCTCCCCTCGCCTAGAGGTAGGAGAAAATTCTCTTCTGTTTCTTTGTGGCTTCGATGTCACTTCCACCGGTGGGTTAGAAGTGAAACTCATTAGTATGTAATGAATTCAGACACTTCCCTATGTCCTCATTTACTAATAAACCCCAGATTTTTGTTGCTCTTCTACGGGGTTATTAAAATTAGGAGCATAATTAGAATGCAATTTATGCGTTTCAGATTTTAAGCTGTTTGTTTTACATATTTAATTTGACTTTATACCACCCTGATTTGTTAGAGTTTCCCATTTCCCAGTATTGGTCCAGGTTTAAAAGATTAGGGAAGTTAATATTGTAGGATTATATTTAATATTCATCCCTAAGCGCTGTTTAATAGCATGCATCTTAGGGAAATTAATTTTGTGTTTGTGCCACACCCGGCAATGCTCAGGATTACTCCTGGCTATGCACTCAGGAATTATTCCTGGCGGTGCTCAGAAGACCATATGGGATGCCGGGGATTGAACCCCAGTCACGCAAGGGAAGTCCTATTTCTCAGGCTCCCAGAAATCATAAATTTTTTTTTACTTTTAGAAAAAAGTACATTTCTGGGACCAGAAAAAAGAGTACAGAGATTAAGCATTTGCCTTGCATGAAGCCAGCCCTCATTTGATACCCAGTACTCCATGAGCACTGTGAGGCGTGCCCCCAAGCACAGAACCAGGATAGTCTCTAAGCACTACCTAGTATGGCCCTCAGGTGAGCAAGTGAACGTAAGGGATTGAGCCATGTGACTGTAAAATTCTTAGGATCACTTTGGCACAATTGGGCTCTCTTTTTCAGTTTTCTTTTTCTTTTTTTTTTTTTTTTTCCCTTTATTTTATTTTATTTTTTTTAAAGTTGTAGATTTACAATTTTTTGTGCTTTGGTTTCAATTATACAATGATCAGATACCCATCCCTCCACCAGTGCCCATTTTCCACCACCATGGATAATATCCCTCCCACCCCCATCCCCCCATCCCCCCGTCTCTGTGGCAGGGCAATCCCCTGTGTTCTCTCTCTCCTTTTGGGTGTTGTGGTCTGCAAAAGAGGCATTGAGTGGCAAACATGTTCAGTCCATAGTCTACTTTCGACATGCATCTCCCCTCCTGGGAGGATCCTCCAAACATCCTTTATTTGGTGCTCCCTTCTCTATCTGAATAGCCCTTTCCTCTAGGATACCCGGCTGGCCTCTAAGTTATGGAGTAATCCTCCTGGTGCTGATCTCAGCTATTCTTGGGTATTAATCTCATACTTTGTTACTTTATATCCCCCAGATGAATGCAATCTTTCTATGTCTATCCCTCTCTTTCTGACTCATTTCGCTTAGCATGATACTTTCCATATTGTACCACTTGTATGTAAATTTCATGACTTCATCTTTTCTAAGAGCTACATAGTACTCCATTGTGTAGATGTACCAAAGTTTCTTTAACCAGTCATCTGTTCTTGGGCATTCAGGTTTCTTCCAGTTTCTGGCTATTGTAAAGAGGGCTGCAATGAACAAACAAGTGCAGATGTCACTTCGACTATACATTTTTGCCTCTCTGGGATATATTCCCAGGAGTGGTATTGCTGGGTCAAATGGGAGCTCAATTTCTAATTTTTTGAGAATCGTCCATACTGTTTTCCAGAAGGGCTGAACCAGTGGACATTCCCACCAACAATGAAGGAGTGTCCCTTTCTCGCCACATCCACGCCAGCATCGGTTGCTTTTGTTCTTTTGAATTTGGGCCAGTCTCTGAGGTGTGAGATGGTATCTCATTGTGGTTTTGATCTGCATCTCCCTGATGATTAATGATGTAGAACATTTTCTCATGTGCTTTTTTGCCATTCGGATTTCTTCTTTGAGAAAGTTTCTGTTCATTTCATTGCCCCATTTTTGGATGGGGTTGGATGTTTTCTTCTTGTGGAGTTTAACCAGTATTTTGTATATCCTGGATATCAACCCCTTGTCAGATGTGTATTCGGTGAATATCCTTTCCCATTCTGTAGACTGTCTTTGTATTTTGGTCACTGTTTCTTTGGAGGTGCAGAAGCTTCTTAGTTTAAGATAGTCCCATTTATCTATCTCTGTTTTCACTTGCTCGGCCAGTGGCGTGGCATCTTTGAAGATACCATTAGCTTCAATGTCATGGAGGGTTTTGCCAACTTTATCTTCAATGTACCTTATGGTTTCTGGTCTGATGTTGAGGTCTTTAATCCATTTTGATCTTACTTTTGTACATGGTGTTAGGCAGAGTTCTGAGCCTATTTTTTTGCATGTAGCCGTCCAGTGATGCCAACACAATTTATTAAAGAGGCTTTCCTTACTCCACTTCACATTACTTGCACCTTTATCAAAGATTAGATGAGCATATGATTGAGGAGAGATGTCAGTGTATTCAACCCTGTCCCATTGGTCTGCAGTTCTGCCTTTGTTCCAGTACCATGCTCTTTTAATTATTACTGCTTTGTAGTACAGTTTGAAGTTCGGGAGGTTGATTCCTCCCATTTTCTTTTTCCCAAGAATTGCTTTAGCTATTCGTGGGGGCTTATTGTTCCATATAAATTTCAAGAGTGTTTGCTCCATTTCTTTGAAGAATGTCATGGGTATCCTTATAGGGATTGCATTGAATTTATACAATGCTTTCGGTAGTATTGCCATTTTGACAATGTTAAGTCTCCCGACCCATGAGCAGGGGATATCTTTCCATTTCCTCATGTCCTCTTTTATTTCCTGAAGTAGCGTTTTGTAGTTTTCTTTGTACAGGTCCTTTACTTCCTTAGTTAAGCTGATTCCTAGGTACTTGATTTTCTGGGGCACAATTGTGAATGGGATTGTTTTTTTCATGTTGCTTTCTTCTCTCTCACTGTTTGCGTATAGGAAAGCCATGGACTTTTGGGTATTGATTTTATAACCTGCAACTTTACTATACGAGTCTATTGTTTCTAAGAGTTTTTTGGTGGAAGTTATTGGGTTCTCTAAGTAGAGTATCATATCATCTGCGAATAGTGAGAGCTTGATTTCTTCCTTTCCTACCTGAATGCCCTTAATATCTTTTTCCTGCCTAATCGCTATTGCAAGTACTTCCAGTACTATATTGAACAGCAGTGGAGAGAGTGGGCATCCCTGTCTCGTCCCTGATCTTAGAGGGAAGGCTCTCAGTTTTTCCCCATTGAGGATGATGCTTGCTGTAGGCTTGTGGTAGATGGCTTTAATTATGTTGAGGAAGGTCCCCTCTATACCCATTTTGGCTAGGGTTTTCATCATAAAGGGGTGCTGGATCTTATCAAATGCTTTCTCTGCATCTATTGATATGATCATATGCTTTTTATCTTTTCTTTTGTTGATATGGTGGATTATGTTGATTGATTTCCGAATGTTGAACCATCCTTGCATCCCTGGGATGAATCCTACTTGGTCATGGTGTATGATCTTTTTGATGAGTAGTTGGATTCTATTTGCTAGTAGTTTGTTGAGGATCTTTGCATCTGTGTTCATCAAGGATATCGGCCTGTAATTCTCTTTCTTTGTGGTATCTCTGTCTGCTTTTGGTATCAGTGT